CAGCTCCAACTCCATTAAAAAAAAAAAGAGCGTCTCTTTCTCGGCGCTCTATGGGTTAAAAAATACCTTCTTTCATAAACGTTCGACATTTATCGGTTTTAAAAATCTTCCAAAAATAATATATATATTTGTGATACGTTATTTGAGTAAAATTAGCAAATTTAAAGTTAAATTAATCTGATTTTAAACCAACATTACTTACTTTATCATAAAAATGTAATATACAATCATTTCAACTGAAAAATGCTAAATATTACGTTACCACTGACCTAAAAAAAAAAAAAAAGTAAAAAAAAAGATTTTTAACCAAAATTTCGAACGTGCTAGAAAGGATTAAAAATTTTAAAAAATAATTAAAAATACTTTGGTCTTTCCTCTTAAAAATAACAGAAATTTTTGCAATAAAACTTTGATTGTATTAAGTTTGGGGCCTTTTCACATGCTATGAACCTTAGCGAATTAGTGAACACGCCTACTTTTATCTATTGAAAAGAGGATTTTAAATTTATTTTTTTTACTTTTCGTATGCAATGAGGGCTCGATGAGTCGGTGAGTGACGAAAAAACATGCCAAGGTTTTAAAAATGCCTAAAATGTTTATTTATATATGCATTATTTAAAAATTCAGATTAGCATTTAAAGTAGGTACTTCCAAAGATTCACGATACCTAAGGTTTAAAATAAATTTTTAAAAATGAAAAATCTTCTTTAAAGCTTTTATAATTTTTAATTTCAAGCTATTAGATTAAATGTATTATTCCCACTAAACAAAATAATTTACTGTATTTCAAAACTAATTTAAATTGTCTGGGAGCTTTCGTCTTGAAATCAATAACATTCGCTTATTTTAGCATCATTTTTAACCATTTAAACCATTAAAAAATCTTTCAAAAATAAAGTATACTTTTCTGAAACTCTATTTGGAGAATATTAGCTGATTTAAAGTTTAATTAATCTGATTTGAAATAAATATTACTTACTTTAAGTTTAAAATATCGCAGAAATACATTTTTAGCACGGCAGTAGCTGTTTATTTTACGTGTTTAGCTTTGAATAACAAACAGAAGTCTGTTTTTCTACGGTGAATATATTAACTTTAGAGTTAGGTGTTAAGGTTAGGGTTGGGGTTTTCTTTCTGTGTAGAAAAGGGGACAAATTAAAAAAGATTAACTTTAGGGTTAGCTGTTAAGGTAAGGGTTGGGGTTTTCTGTGTAGAAAAGGGGACAAATTAAAAAAAAATCAAATAATACAATCAACCCTTCTACTTTACCAAGTTTGTGCATTAATTTTTGCCCCCTTTTCTACACAGAAAACCCCAACCCTAACGCCTCACCCTAAAGATTAATTTTAGGGTTAGTTGTTAAGGTCATGGGTGGGGTTTTCTGTGTAGAAAAGGGGACAATTTAAAAACAAATGAAATAATACAATCAACCCTTCTACTTTACCAAGTTTGTGTATTAATTTTATTTTTATTTTCAATTTTACAATATAAAAAATGCTTTATTTTTATTTAATTTGTTCTTTTAATTTGTCATTGCTATTTGAAAAGAAAAAAAGGTTCTATTGTACAGTGTAACCCGGATATAAGAAACCCGGATATAAGAGAAACCCGGATATGAGAGATTTTCTCTGGTCCCAAATTAGAGCCTGTGTTAATGTATATATAATAGACCAAACCCGGATATAAGAGAAACCCGGATATAAGAGACTTCTTCTCCGGTCCCGACAACTCTCTTATATCCGGGTTACACGGTATTATTTAATTTGTTTTTGTTATGGATAAGTACAGTTTGGGCCTGGAATGAAACACAAGAAAAAGGTTTTGAGAGAGTCAAAGAACTATTGACACAGGCAGCAATATTAACCTACTATGATCCTGAAAAGCCTATAATAATTAGTGCAGACGCAATCAGTTTGGGATTGGTGCAGCCATTTTACAAGAGGAAAATAAAAATTTGAGAGCCATGCCTCTCGTACACTGACACAGAGAGAAATTGTGCTTAAATAGAGAAAGAATATTTAGCAAGCGTATGGGCCTGCGAGAAGTTTGAGTGATTTTATTTTGACCGATATATCGCTGGACTAGATCAGTTTCGCCTATTGACGGATCATAAACGTTTGGTACCGTTAATCAAAACTCAGGATTTAAACAACACTCATTTGAGATGTCAAAGATTGTTAATGAAACTTAGGAGATATAATCCTGTAGCTGAATATATCCCTGGGAAACTCTTGCTAGTACCAGATGCACTGTCCAGAAATCCAATGTAGCAAACCAATAGCACTGCTGAGGAAGATGTTAAAACATACATAAACAGCATAGTAAGGACTAGATCAGCTTCTAGCAGAAAAATCAAAGAAATCATCAATGCTACATCTAAGGACTCCATTCTACAGGAGGTTATTCATTTCACATTTAATGGTTGGTCTAAGAAGGAAGATAAATTAAAGGAAGGAGTTAAACCTTATTTTAACTTTAAGAATGATCTATCGATACATCAAAAGTCAAAACATTCTGTTTTATCAAGATCGCATAGTGATTCCACAAAATCTCAGAGCAGAAATACTACGAGCAATACACACAGGACATCTTGGATTAAATAAATGCACAGAGCGAGCAAAAATGTCTGTATGGTGGCCGAAAATATCACGGGAAATAGAAGACTTCATCAAGGGATGTGAATTTTGTAATTGTCATCGCGTTGCAAATCGCCACAAAACCTTGAAACCAACCACTTTGCCAGATAGGGCTTGGCAGAAGGTGGGAACAAACATTCTAAAATTGGACGGAGAGTATTACTTAGTCGTAACAAATTATTTATCTTGTTACATTGAAATAGTGAAATTAGGTTCACTAACAAGTAAAACAGTAGTTGGAAAATTACAAAATATATTTGCGTGATGTGGAATGCCAGATGAAGTCGTAAGTGATAACGAACGGAAGACAAATCACAAGCACACATTTCAGAGAATTTGCTAAAAAATATGGGTCCACATGTACAACAGTGAGTCCTCATTTTTCCACAAGCAAATAGAGCCGCTGAAAGTGCAGTAAAAATTGCGAAAAAGATATTACGACAACCAAACATATTTCTCGCATAAATGGCATACCGTAGTACACCGATATAACTGCTACTGGAGTTAGCCCAGCAGAACTTTTGATGGACAGGAAAATTAAAACAACTTTACCCAGTCACCCAAATAAATTAAAACCTAAATGGACAAACTGTAAAAGGAAAAGATGGATCTTATAAAACAAGAAGTATGATAAAAAAAGACTTGGAGGTAAGAATCTAAAACCACTAAAATAGAAGTTAGCAGCAAATAAGCACAATAGGACATACACAGTAAAATTAGACTCAGTGGAATTCCGAAAAAAGCAATAGGAAACATTTACTGCCTATTGTGGAAAACAATACAATATTGTTTAAGAAAGAGGATAGAAAAGAAAGCAGGATCCATTTAAAAATGTGGATCAGGACGCAAGATCTAGTAAAGGACGGTTAAAACCAAGATACTTAAATTTTAAAGGACTATGTGTGGGAAGAAAGAATCTGGATGGAAGGAGGTGTATCATCAGTAATAATCCCTGATGCGTTACACTCCTTGTTTTTGTTATTGTTTTGAGTTCCCAAGAGAGGGAGTGTCGCTCGAGGTTGTTTTTAATTAAAATGAGTAAAATAACTACTATGGTTTTCTTGTTGCTCTTTCTGTCGTTACTAAATTGCAACGCTCGTGTATGAAACAAATTTAAAAACTTTTTAAATATCTTAATTTTATTGCATTTTCTATTTTAAGATTCAGTGCAGATTTTCGGTAACTGGTGTTGTTATTTTAGAAAAAAAAAAAAGATTTTTAAATTCACCATTGAGTTCTGGTTTTATTAAGTGGCAAAAAATTGAATTTCTCGAAATTTCATAAAAAATAAGTAACAAATGTGTAAAAAGAAAAAACAAAATAAGATTTTCTATAAAAAAAAAAAAGAAGCATTTCTAAATTAATTTCATTCATTTGTAAATAAATCTTGAAAGTTTCATTATCCAACAATTATTTGATTTTTGGAAGAATTTCCAAGTCAATGAGTTTTTTTTTTTTTTTACTGCAAAAAAGACTCTCCAAAATTTCCAATACTAATATTTGACTGGGCTGACGTAAATAAATAAAAATAAAAAAAAAAGAAAAGATTTTTACCCAAAATTTCTAACGTTCTAAAAAGGATGATAAAGAAAATTAATAAAAAAATCCTCTGGTATTTCCTTTTTTTACGATAAAACTTTCTTTTTTTTTTTATTTAAACTGAAGTTTGGAACATTTTTCTTTTTCATCACGGCATGCTAATAGCCTAATTTTTTTTTAAGCAAATTAGTTGTGTTACCTACTTTTTAAAAGTAAAATTATTTAAAATGCGTTTTTCTGTTTTTATTTTTAATTTTTTTTTTTTAAAAAGTCCGTCGTAGTAGCAACTAAAAATAACTTGTAGAAGATAGCATCTTTAATTAATAACGGGTCAAAAATAAAAAAAAACTTTTACCAACTAAACCTGTACCCCAGTGGGCTCTAAACAGATCCACATATAACAAATAAATGAAATCCTACCCAAAACAACCACGATTCAAAACATTTAAGAAGTGGTCTTAGTGGTTGAAGGACCGTAATCAGAATCCAAACAAAACTTGAACACTAATACTAAGTAAGTTAACAGATTTTATTATCATTTCTATTTTATTTTTACACCCACGTACATATCCTGTTTCACTTTCTTTACTGTGTAATTTGTTAAACTGTAATCATATAGTAAATAATTGTAATCGCTTGTTGTTGTTTTTTTTAATGACGTCATGATTTGATATTTTCTACGGTTTGTTCCTCCCACGGACTGCTAAAGAATATCCCCAAGTGTGTAACATAATAACATTTTTAAGAAGGTGGTTCAGGTAACAATATTTAAGAAAAACTTCACTGTTTCTGTTTGCTTACTGGAGACTGCCAAAGCAGTAACAGATGATAGGCGTAAGTTTTTATTTCATTTTTTATTTGTTAGTTAACAATTGCGGTCATTGTCGATTTTTTTTTTATCCTTATAAGTTGCTGTTTATTGTGGGTTTTTTGCTTATTTTCAAAGGATACAGCGATTTTAACTAAGTCTTGTAATGAATGTAGCTAAAAAACTCTTACCAGAACTTCAAAAGAGGAAACATTGAATTGGGTTATTTTTTAAAGTTTGTATTTAAAAAGAAAATGCGTTATTTCGTAATAGTTTTTAACTTTTATATAGAGAACAACAAACGTATTTAAATTCCTACTCAAGTATGGAAAACTAAAACTAGTACAAGAAAGTACAAAAAAAAAAAGAAAAACCAAGTTTGTTTTTGTTTTGTTTTTTTTACATGTTGATTGTTGATACAAAAAAATAAAGTCAGTGATACTTTTCTAAAGTTGTTCGTATGCAAGCAATGCGAATGGTCTTTAGTTGATGTATTATCTGGTCTGTTGTTATTCAACAAGTATAATTCCTAAATTAAATCGCAATTTTTCAAATTGTTTTTTTTTTCTTTTTGTTATTTTTTTCCGGTGCTTTCACCAGTGTTCATCATAGTTTTCCGAACCAATATTTTCAACCATAAAACTGGAATTATAGCGTAAAAATTAGAAATAAACATAAAAAAATAGAAGGAGCAGTACCTCGACATGGTAGGAAGCTTGTCTTGCAAGATGAATTACGACTAAGTAGTGAGTTCGATCTTCATTAGATGCCCCATACTTTCGGCCTTGTGTCACATCTAAGCCGCGCTTAGAAAATCACTATAAAAATAAAAGGGGCAAATTTTCTACTGTATCCATAATTTTACTTTTAACTTTAACTCCCAAAAATTTTTTCCAAAACTTGGACCCATATTCACTACATAAAAATAAAAATATAATTTTTTAGACAATGTTTCTTTGTCAGAGATTTTGAATATAACGTAGTTTGGGTAAAAAGTAATTTTGATGGGAATAAGTTCTAAAATATTAATTAGCAGGTGGTTAACATTTTTAATAAACTGTCACATTTCTAAGTTCTTCATTCATTTTATTTTTTCTTCTTTATTTCCACTGGTAGTATCATGGCGACCCGAAAGTTAAGATAAAAAGGCATTTTTAAAAAGTGAAAGAAGGAATGTTTTTTACGAAGCTGGCACATCCGATATTATTTTTTGGTGATGCTTTGCTTTATGGTGACCTTCACAAATAACTTAAGTGTAACGGCATTGTATATTTAATTTCCATAACAACAAAAAAAAAATTAAGCATTTTTTAAAGAAACATTAAAAAAAAAAAAAATAAAACGAAAAAAAAGTATCTCGGTACCGATGTCCTAAAAGAAAACGAAAAAAATAAAACTAAAAGCATTATTTAAAAATAATTTAAATGCCTTCTTTGAACTTAATTTTTGGTTTTATTTGAAGCCTAAAGCTAATTCGTATTAAAAGAAAAATTATTTTTCGTATCTAAATAAAAAAGTTTTATGCATTTTTAAAACATTGGCACATTCATTCGTCGCTCATTAATTTACTTATCGAACGGCCATTTATAGACGAAAAATGTTGTAAACAATAAGTAAAAGTTTAAGTACCACCAAAAAATGGATGTGCTTTTCAGCTTTTCTGACGTGTCAGCAAAATGTGCGGTGTAGTGTCACGGCTCGCAATGCGAAATCAGAGAGCCGAATTCGAATTCCAGTCGGGTTCATTCATTACATTCAACAACATACACTCATGCCCAAATATACTCTTGTCTTGGCCTTGGGAAAGGAATCCATTTCTTCTCTGAAGATGTTATTTCAGTAAAAAAAAAAATTATATACCATTTATGGTATATGCACGAGATCGCTAAAAAAAACGTATAGTCTGATGAAAAAGACGTCAAACTTGACGAAAACAAAATTTTATCGCCAAAATGTCTATGTTACGAGTAAGAGTAAAGAACAAAGTAATTTTTAATTATTTTTTCAAAATTTTCTGTCTTTATTACAACATTCTAACTTTCGATTGAAAAACCTTGTTTCTCGTCATCACCGGAACTTAAATAACATGGCGAATTTTTTGTGCATTTTTTTCTTATGACACACATTAATTTTGAAAATCTTGAAAAAATAGAAATAATTGTCAGATTTTAATGAAACTTTCAGAAACTATTCAGAAATGATGGAAATTATTATAAATATGTTATTTTTTTTTAAAGTCATGATAAAAATATATTTTTTATACATATATTACCACCCCCATAAATGAATTAAAGAAAACTGTAAAAGTTTATGGACGAAGCAGGGAAGTTAAAAACACAAGGCTTTGAGGAAAGTAAATCAGGTTTTCTTTTTTAAAAAATCCGAACACGTAAACGCGAAAATCAGCTCTGAATTGTAACATACAAAACCCAATAAAACAAAAATACTATTTAATTTTAAATGCTTTTAGTTGCTTTTATTTGTTTTTATCAATATGCATAATATTGTCTGAAGGCAAAAAACTTTTTCGATGAAAAATGAATTTTTAAATGAATTAATTGTTATTTAATAAATTATTTTATTATTTTTACATAAAGTTACTAAAAGTTGTTAAATATTCTAAAATTAGCGGTACTGACGAATCCTGTATATAATGCTATTTTTAGGTACCTATATCTGTACAGATTATAAATAGTACAAGGTTTTTACAATCAACGAAAAAGCAATGAGAATAATCTTACTGTCCTTTAACCTATGTGTAGAAAAAAAAAATCTTAAATCAAATGTACGGAGGCCCGGAAGAAACATGATCCAATAAAAACATCACGTGACTTGATTTGTACGGCACTGTTAACGGCCTTTACATTTATATAAAATTACTTTAAAAAATTTATAATAATTTCCATCATTCCTGAAAGTTTCTTTAAAATCTGACAATTATTTCTATTTTTTGCAAGATTTTCAAAATTAATGTGTCATAAGAAAAAATGAACAAAAATTTGCCATGTTATTTACTAAAGTTCCGGTGATGACGAGAAACGAGATTTTTCAATCAAAAGTTAAAACGTTCTTTAATAAAGACAGAAAATTTTTTTTAAAAATAATGAAAATTACTTTGTTCTCTCCCCCTTAATAGTAACATAAACATTTTGGTAATAAAATTCTGATTTCGTCAAGTTTAAGGCGGTTTTTCATGGTATGACTACTTAAAAATGACGAGGTAAATAAGTTAACGTAAAGATAAATTGTCACTTACGACCTTCCGTACTATAAATTTCCGCACGTAATATGTCAGTGCGTGATGAAAAAACACGCACTTGTCATTTGTCAATCAACACCGCAGTTCAGATCGGCTTTCTCCCATTTGAAAAAACATGTTTTCATCACAGAAAATAAGTAATCTTTGTTTCAAAATATACTAAATAAACTTTCTAATTTCTAATTTTTTAAAATTAGTTAAAAAAAATCATAATTGATTTTTAAATAAATTTTAAACGGCAACATTCACTTTTGTAAACAAACGTCAAAAACAACGGGAGATTATCGATCTTCTGTCGATTTTTCCGATTCAAAAAAATTGAAGATTTTTAACGAAAATTTTGGACGTGCTAGAAATTATTAAAAAATTTGAAAAAATATTCAAAAAATACTTTGATCATTCCTCTTGATAATAACATTAACATTTATACGATAAAAAATTATTTTAATCAAATTTAAGGCCTTTTTTATTCATGGTATGCTATTTTTTTATCGATCTCATGCACATACCTAAAAAATTCGTCCCGAAACTTACCTAAAAAAATTCAATAAATTTAAAACAAATATGTTTTCTGAGAGTTGGTGCTTGCATAAAAATAAAACACATTCAGATTGGAAAGAAAAAAATATTTATTTTAAAAAAATTGTAATTTTTCAGTGTGACTTTGAAATTCATCACGTTGTTTTTCGTAATAGTTTTTTTTTTGCTTTTGTATCTTTATTAAAGACCTGTTTCAAGAATCGAAAAATGTTTTTAAAAAGAATATGGGATAAACTAAACATTACTTAAAGCTACAAAAGGATAGATAGATAATTGGGGAGAGCCATGATTGCCCACATAACAATAGAGGAAGTAATCTACTTGCACTTTTAACTGCATAGAAGTGTTAGAAATCAGTGTTACATATTTTCCAGAAGGATAGGTAAGGGAAGGCTGAGAGTTAGGACATTCTTCAGACTATCGGAGTTGTTTTAAGGAGACCATTGTATTAAGTGGATTTTTCAGTGTGGTTATATTACCGAATGTAACACAAGGTAAATGTTTAAAGTAGGCTTAACGGCAATATGTTGCTGAAATTGCTCAAACTCCCCTCCTTTTGGAAACACTAAAAAATCTCCCCTTGCTCCTGCTGTTATTGGAAGGTTCTATGTATAACCCAGTTTCCGCATCAAATAATATTTGGCGCCTAATTATGAATGCTAAGATTGGTGCAGCTCAAGATCTCAAAGGAAATAGATGCCTTTTACCAGAATCTGGGGAATGGCACCCAAACCAGTAACAATCGTGAAGGCCCACTTCTCATGATGGTTCCAAGACAAAAAAAACTTTATTTGAATGACAGATGAGTGTATCAAACCATTTCTAACCTAAATGTATTGGAATCGACCTTATGCTTGGCAATACCTGCTAAAAGCATCTTTTTTATAAACTCTCTCATTTCATGTCTTTGATGATGTTGTGGGAATATGTACGTTGGTGACTGAGTTGGTAAACATGTGTCTTTTGAAATGTTTATTCCACAACATAAATGGACTTGCATGTGTGTCTGGGTAGTAAAATACAAAGAAACAATTAAAACCGATATATAAGCAAATGATAATGTATTATTAACAAGACAAAAAGTTACATTGTTGTGATTGACAATGATAGTGTATGTATGTGACAAAACAATGAACATGCATGAAAACATTTAAAGACCAGTGAATTGTTCGTGTATGTAAAATGTGTGTAGAAGTCCTAGAGAAAATGAAGTTGCATGCGTATGTTTGTGTGTGTGTGTTTCCCAGTGGGAAACGCATTTTCATGATAGACCTATATCCTAGCGTGTCTAAGGAAAATAGGTAGAAGGGAATGACAGAAAGTATTGCATTGTATTTATAGCTTTGGAAAGCGTCCTAGTAGCATTTTTTTTTTTTTTTTTTTTCAACTTGATGTTGAAATTAAAATTCCCATAACACCTCAGGTGGTGGATAATTACCACCAGCCTCCCTCCCAAAGGAGAGGTACTATCTGGGGGATGGGCCCTTGGGGCTTGAGCTTAATATTATTTTGAAACTACCCAGTTGAAGCCAGCTCATTAAGGATGTAAACTGTTGTGCACAATCTATTAATCTAATTAGCTTCAACAATTCAGAATAGTTTGCTTTCAAATTGTGTACCTCTGCCTGTTATGGCATGTAGCAGAAGATGCATGTTTATAAACACTTCAGCGAGAGAAGGATCTGTTATTTCAGATACTGACTGGGTTTTGATCCATCATGTTGCAGGGTTAGTTTATATCAAGAAGTATCTATACAAGGATTAATACAAGAATTATTTAGGCTTATTGATGGTGGAAGTGAACCCACAATATCAATATATACCATTTGAAATCTCTCTAAATGTATTTCAAAAGTTTGCAGTGAAGATTTTATCTATTTTTGATGAGTAGGTTGTCCATTATGTGAAATTGTTTTCTGTTCATCTCTGGTCAATGTTATCTAGACTCTACAAAAGAAATACAAATCAAAAATATTATCATTGTCTATTTATATGAGTTAAAATCTATTTTTTTGCATGGTTAAATTTTGATATGTAAAATCATAATTGTATCTAAGCTTTAATTTTAAAATATTGTCACATTTATTAAATACTAGCCTACAAGCTGTCCTTTGGGTGGACTTTAGGCTAGTTCCTTTTGAAGGGCCTTTGTCCTTTTACATTCTGCATCCTATGTACATAAAAGTTGTAAGAATTTAGAAAATAATAAAATTATTTTATCTTTAATGTTCTGTTATTGAATTTCACTATTTTACTTAGAACAGACATTGGTGAAGCAGGTTTTATGACCACTGGTGAAGTTTTTGGTGTTTTTACTATATGTATATTTTCCTTTTCTAAAAGTTGTAACCCTTCCTGGACTTTTTTCTTCATAGGAAGTGGCAAGTGTCGAGGCGGATTTGTTATAGACATTGATTGGCAGACTCTTTTAAACATATTTTATATATATTCTGGAGTCTACCAATGCCTGGGAAAAGTTCTGGAAATTCTTTTTATAGAATTCACCCTCCTTAATAAACAAATCCTGTTTAGACTTTGCATTTGGAGTTTCTAATAAATTCTCCACATGACTGATAGCTTTTATCTGGTGATCACCTGGTCCATACAGTTGATTGTTACATTTTTTTTTTAATTATTGGGGAGTTTTTTCTAAAATAACTACTGGGGACTACTGTTACATCTGCCCCCATATCCAATTTGAAATGAATTACTTTACTATACAGCTTTGTAGTAAATTTAACTTCAGTTTGCCAGGCCTATTCCCTGACTGTGTTAATTCTATCAATAGTAGAAATAGACACAAGGACATAGTGTGGTTCTTTCTCATTCCTTGAAATTTAGACCTCCCACATTTTTTTATAATGTCCTTTTCTTGAACACTTTAAGCGTCTTATCCTTTAAAAATTTTCTGTATCATTTTTAACCCCTAAAACTATTTGGTCTCAAATTATCCTGCCTTGCATTTCCCTAAAATTACAGCCTTTTGCTAACTGCTGAAGCACAGCGACATATGCCTCTATACTCTCTGAAGCTTCTTGCTTTCAAATATGAAATTTGTAAGCTTTGTATGCTTCATGGGATTCTCCAACAAAAAAATTCTTTGAATTTTGTTATTACTACTTCCAAATTTTCTTTCTCTTCATTATCAAATTTCAACCCCTCCATAAATGTTGTCTTTTTCTATTAACTCCCCAGACTGCAACCTGCTTGATTATTATGCATGAGGCACAGTTGAGTGAGAGACCATAAAACTCCTTGTAACACCAAAGATGAAGGCAAGGATTATGGCAGCATTCACCAACTTAAATAAGGAGACTGTCCAGAAGAGTTGCAGGAAATTCCAAAGTCATCTGCAGGCTGTGGTTAAAGCCAATGGTAATTTTATTGAATAAATTTGCTCTTTAGTATTTCAAGATATTTTTATGTAATTTTGGTAAATACATCTGTTAAAATGAAATGTCAGTGTTATTTTCATTTTTGCGTAATATAAACAACAATTTATCCACATTACTCAGACTGTTATCCTCATCTTCATTGCCATATTCACAACGTTTTGGCCATTGTACACTCCGGCCTTCTTCAGGTGATTGGAATTTTGAACCAAACCCTTTATTTCGTCCACTGGGGTATATTGTTCTAGTTCCACGTGCTATGCCTCTTACAGATGTTTCAGTTATTTCCCTTTAACTTAACTCTCCAAGTTTTTTGGTTCACCACTGCTGTAGCCTGATATTGAACTCACAACTCTTTGTGTCTATTTTGGTTGCTGGTAAATAATAATAGGGGCTTTTATCAAAAACGATATACTGATAAACAATTTACTCACAGAGAATCGAAAATTCTAAAATGAATCAAATGGCCAGCTAAGAACAATACTTAATTTGTATGACAGACAAGGTGTTGACAATTGTTTGATAATGCCTGCCATGAGTGTGTCTGTGGAATCAAAATGAGAAGAATCGGATAAAATTTTAAATGGCAGTTAGAAGTAAAAAGGTTACTTAAGGAATGTTTCTGACATGAGCTGAATGATATGAGAGCAAAAGGTGTTCAGTGTCTGATTTCGGATGGGAAGGAAATATAAAACTGACCTAGTGAATCTCTCTGCAGAGGTGTCAAGATTAAAAACAATAACTACCAGACTTAATTTTTTTTTTAATAAAAACGCACAGTGATATCTTGACATTCTGCCGAATGATTGCAACCATTGTGCAAGCTGCAAGATTTTCCCTAGGAAAATGTCTCTGGGTCGAGTGGGGAGAAGGCCAATTGTTCATTAAACTTTCAGATCAGAAAAAAAGTCAACACTGATATCAATTCATTTATGAGATGATAGCATTTGGAACAATAATTTTTTTAAAAATTAGTCTTCACTGAGTGGCTGAGATGATGGGTATAGAAGAGATATCAAGGAAGGAGGAGGAGCTGTTCACACCCATTGAAGGGTAGCAGGTACAGATGAGACACCAAGGAGGATGAAGGAGCTGCCCATGCCCACTGAGGAGTATTAGTGGAAGAAGCTGCAAGGAAGAAAAGGGGGAGACTTCCAAATTGGAAAATAATTAATTTCTCAGGACCTAGAACAATGAAGATAACAGGTGGAAAAAATACCAAATTCCTCAACTGTGTCACACCCCCACACCAGTTTTTGGTAGATATCAATAAATACAAATGCCTCAAGCGAATTAGAGAGACTGCCTGGAAAATCAGTTCCAGCTGCTGAGTGCAAGACAACATACGTTACACAAACCCCCGATATCAGCCTTGAGCCAATTTTGCCAAGTCAGCTAAACAAACTTCACTAAGTCTGAAAACCAAACCTTACCAGCTTAACCAAGGTTGCATCTGATTTAGGAAATAGGTTAGGTCGACAAACACCTGCATGCTAACACCAAAACCCTAACAACTATTAACCACCCATTGTATGCAGTAATGAAGTAAAAAAAATAAAAATATATATATATATATATATATATATATATATATATATATATTATTTGTGTTATTTTTCTTCTGTTTTACTGTGTGTCTTTGCTCTGCTTGGACCAGCCCAATATGAAGATACCCACGACAAGTTGATCTTGGCCTCCTTATGAACAAACCGAATCACATGGGGTAAGGCAGGTCAGTATTAAAGAGATCACTCCATTGATCAGCCATGGTATTACATGTCTTGGATAACCAGGGATGGTATAGAGCTACAATTGGTTCCTGTGAAGGTGTTACACTATAGTAAAGAGGATTTACATTCAGAGATTATCCTTCTAATAAACTTAAGCTACCATAATTAACCTTCAGTAGCTCTTACAATATTAGACTTTTTTTTTAATATTGAAAAAGAAGTGCCTGAACCATACCTGTGATATTATATTACATATTTTAATTAGATGATTTTTACCAATTAACATTCATTAATTATGCTATTGCCACTGTTATTATTAAAATAAAACACTTCATTCATAAATGTTGGGTTAGATTTAGAACAAAAGTATGTTTCAATAGGTGACATTTTGATCACATGACTGAAATTCATGCCATATATATATTGTGAAATGCATCTTTCTATATGATTTGTACATGGATTTGTTAATTTTTACTTTCTTTTTATCTTAAAAGGAAAATAACTAGATATATTTTTATCATTTGATGCCCTTTTTTATTTCTGGGAAGAAATGAACTCTGCCTTTCCATCTGCAATTCTCTACTCAAATGCAACAAAAAAAACAACACATTTTTTTAAAAGAATAATTACAAATGATCAAAGTGGATTATATGCAATAATATAGTGACAAAGGTTCTGGAGAAATTAAAATTAACCACTCTAAAATTTGGTTTGCATCTAACAAAGGTAAGACTGTGTATCTGGTGGGATTGGGATGGCATTGGGTAATGAGCTCTTTCTGCAAAATCAGATGTTGACTTCAAAGATGTACTTTACTCAATAGAACCAATTAAAGACAATAAAAAAATACCTTGAGTTGGCCAATGGGAAATGCTTGTGTCTATTTGCAGACCCAGCAGAAATTGGTACAGCTTAGCTGGGGTGTCCTACTACATCTGCCATACTTACCAATCTTATGTCTTTGGAATACTATGAAAGTCTCTTATTTGAAAAAACTTGAATTACTTGGAAGTTGTAAAAAGAACCACTTAGACTTGTTTATCACATATAAAGATGCCAAGTTCTTGAAGGATGGACTGATGAAACTGCTTCTAAGATAGTGAAAGAAACACACATATGTGATTAAATAAATCTGAGTTTGTCTATATTTCTGAGATGAGGTATTATGTACAGTATTTACATTAGTCGGACTATTGTCCTCATCTTTGTCGCCATATTCTGGTTAAGGCAGTGGAGAACTTTTCAGAGGGAAAATTAGCAGGAGATAACTGATAACTGACATCCATCAAAACATGGCACACGGAATTAGAACAGTCTACCCCAGCGATCGAAATAAAGGGTTCAGTTCGAAATTCCAACCACCTGAAGAAGGCGGGCGTACAACGGCAAACGTTAGACAAATATGGCGACAAAGATGAGGACAATAGTCCGACTAATGTAAATACTGTTAAATAAATCTATATAAAAATATCTAAATATACTTTGTATATCCAATAATTTTTACAAATTTAGTTTGACCATCCATACAATTCACTGTAGAAAATGAACACTCAAACTTATTTTCTTAGATGTTGTAATGACACACAGGACATGAATTTAAAATATTCTTAGAAACTATCAAAGATTTATACTTGAATTACAAGTTCTACCAACCATTTTATAATTTTATATCACAAAAGAAATAATTCATTGTCTATAACATATGGGCAAATAATTATTTTCCTCTGTGTGTGTGTTTTGTTTTTTTTTTAAAAATATTTTCTATTATATGATCTGTCGTTAATTTACAAAACAACAATGAGAGAGAGCGCACAAGGAATTTTTGTACACAATAACTTCAGGGTCTTTTCAGATATGTACCATAAGACAACAATAATGTTAATTTATATAAAGAAGGACATAAAATATTCAAAGATCTGCAATCATTGAATTTCAGATTATCTTTTTTGGTAAAATTACACAGCCTCCTCACAAGTCAGTCCTCTGTATGTGGACTAAAGGTAGTTTATACAAAATCCTGTAAAATGAGCTGAAGATCAATGGCTAACACAAAATAATAGAATGTCATAGCTGACCATGTGTAGAGAGAAAGAATTAGATCAAAATAATAAACCAGGAAAAAAGTATGTAAAGTGAAAAAAAGCAACACATATGCATTTGTTAAAATTTCATTGTCTAATAAAAACAAATATAGATTTTTAGCACCATCTGAAAAACATCTTGAAAACCAAACTGGTTACATTCCATCACTGCCGATCAGACCCTGAACTACCACCAGTCATGATGAATGGATGTCCCCTCAAGGAGACTGTGGGCCTTGAGATTGGGCCTCAAACTCACACCTGACCTCAAGTGCAACTCTTATATCACTAAAGATGCAGGTAAAATGATCAGCTACGTACCTGAGGCCTTAGGCTATCATCTACCTTTATAAGAGTCAGATCTAACTGAAAATGGAGTACTTTTGCTCTGTCTGGGTGGGAGATACCTGGTCCTCACTTTCAAGTTTTGACAGAGTTCAAAAGCATCTCCAAGTCCTGGTCGAGAATAATTATTTTCCACCCTCCAACCTTTCTCTCACAGGTGGGATTTCTCACTGCTCTATTGCTACTATCATGGAAAGTACTCAGATGAACTACATTCCTTGGTTCCACCAGGTCTAACCTTTATGGCTCGGGGCCACTATGCCACTTACATAGTAGCAAACCACCCACATTCCCTCTGTATTCCATTATTGAGAAATTCCACTAAAACAGCTTCTTCCCACAAACCACTGCCCCATGGAACAGATTCTCAAGAGGATGTTTCCCCAATCATTACAATCTTAACCTGTTCAAGTCTAGAGTCAACCACTCTCTTCCTTTTCTATCCATATAAACTACTCCTTAACATAACCCTCTACCTCAAGTGTCTCCCAGGCCTTGGACAGTGTAAAACTTACTGAAAAAAAAAAAAAAATGAATCAGTTCATTGTCCTCCCATGGCAGGAGTCAATTCCTTGATAAAAATAAATTATCCTAGAGTCACCAGAAAGTTTATTTTGAATACAAAACATTCTCAGACAAAAAATATGCCTTTCATTGTCTCATATTTGTATATGATGCTTCACATATGACAATGCAGAACAGATTGTCATTTCAACTGATGTTTTCAAGCACATCACAAACCATATCTATTATGCATGTCATGTAACGCACATTTAGTTCCTCTACATGATACTCTATTTGTGTGTATGTGTACACTCACTGGTCACTTGGGTTAGACATCCTTTTGCATTTAGAACTGCCTCATTTCTTCTTAGCATGGAATCGGCAATGTTCTGAAAGTACTCTTTTGAAATTTGGGTCCATACTGTTATTATGGCATTCCACAAAGCTTTGAGATTGATTAGTTGTAAGTCCAGGATTCCAATTTCCCTTTCCACCACATCCCAAAAGTACTATATAGAATTGAGATCTGCTCACCGTGGAGGACACTTTAACACAGAAAACCCATGAATATGTTCTATGAACCAATCTGCCACTATTTTTTATTTGTGACATTGTCTTGCTGCAAGTTGTTACCATAGGATGAGTGTACTGTAATTATAAATTGAAGTATATGGTCAGCCATAACTGAGATCTCCCTTGTGGAGATGGAAGGACTATGCTGGAAGTCTTTCTCATGATGATCATGATGACAATCATGACAAGATCTCTACAGAAATCTTGTATAGTTGCTTCTGACATCCTTGAATCTGAGGTGAGGGAGGCCATCAGATGATTGCTGAAGAACAAAACAACAGGTGTTGACAAAATCCCAGCAGGGCTGTTTAAGACAGACAACTGCATGGTGGTTCGAGTGATGTACAACAAGATCTTGGAGACAGGCAAGTGGCCATTAGATTTGTTCATTCATCAGTGTTCATTCCCATTCCAAAGATCTCTGAGACAAGAATGTGAAGAATATTACACCATTGCTCTAATCAGCCATGCCAACAGGATACTACTATGAGTCCTGCTGTAGAGAGTACAGAAGACTGTGGAGGAAGAGTTCTCCAAGTTGGGCTTTCGAAAGAAAGTTGAGACAAGCAATCAGATTTTCAACATCAGGATCATAATGGAAAAGGCATGTGAATACGATGTCTCCATGTACATGGGCTTCATTGATAATATGAAAACTTTTGACTCAGTTTCATACTCAACTCTGTGGACTATGCTGAGGAAGATGAAAGCAGTAGTTGACCTACTAATGAAATTGTACAATTGGTAGCATGCAGTGATGAGAGTGGAAGGCTATGTGATGGAATGGTTTACCATCCAGAAGAGTGTGTGTCAGGGATGCCTTGTGTCAACCATGCATTTCAGCTTCTAAGAAGAGCCAATGTGAAGGTTACCAGATGAACTATCCTAGATAGGAGTAACCATTGGTGATCAGAATCTCAACCTCTGGTATGCTGATAATATTGTGCTGATGGCAACATTGTTGGACATACTCTGAAGACAAAGGTGGAAAGAGTCTCAGGTGAGTATCAGCTGGAGATCAGCACCAAGAAGACAAAAGTCATAGTAGCCACTGGGGAACTGATGCAACTGAGCATTCAATGCCAATGGCTCAAGTAGAGAAATCCAAGTACCTGGGAATCATCATAGATCAAACAGTGAATGGTAGCTATGAGATCAAGGCTCAGTTAGGAGCAGCAAGATCTGCACTAAGGTCCCTTAACACCCTATAGAAAAATTGCACTCTTCATTAAAGTATTAAGTTGATACTCCTGATGATCCTAGTGTGGCATGGTAATGTTGCAATACCTAGACACTAAAAGCTGCTGATGTTAATAGACTGATGTCTTTTGAAACAACATGCAAACTCTGCACATCAACTAGATGTTTCTGACTCTCAGCAATAGGAAGTAGCAAGCATGCAATGTCAGCCATAATACATGGGTAGGCTGTGGCATTTAGATTAACTTTAAAGGATCCCAACATATTCCAAGAAAATATTCTCCATGCCATTACACTACCACCAGCACCAGCTTGAACTATTGATGCAAGGTGGGATTGGTCTCTGCTTTCATATCGTTTGCATCAAATTCTTCCATCTGAATATCTCAGCAGAAATCATGACTCAAGCCAGGCAACTTTTATCCAATCTTTTTTTTTTGTGATGCTTAGTAGTCTCAGTTTCTTGTTCTTATCTGACAGGAGTGGCACCTGGTGTGGTCTTCTGCTGTTTTAACCCAATCTGCTTCAAGGTTCTACATATGCCTTCAGCTCTTTAGTATATGCCCATTGTAAAGAGTGATTATTTGAACTCCTGTTGCCTTTCTATCAATTTGGCTATTCTCCTCCAACCTCTTTCATCAACAAGGAATTTCCACCCACAGAATTGCCACTCATTGGAATTTTTTTCTTTTTCTAACCATTCTTTATAAAATCTACAGATGGTTGTGCATGAAAATAGATCAGAAGTCTTTGTAATACTTAGACCCATTTGTCTGGCATCAAATACCGTCCTGTATTCAAAATCTCTTAAAACAGCTTTTTTCTCCTATATTTTTAAACCAGCTGAAATGAAGTTCAGCAGGTTTCCATGCCCATCTTTAAATGCATATATCCATTAAATTGCTACTATATCATTGGTTTATTAGAAATCTGTGCAAAAGAGCATTTATTCACATGTTCTTAATTAAATAGCTAGTGAGTGAGTGTATATATTATATTAATATTTTTGTGCTTTGACTTTGATGTTTAGTGTAAGCTTTTGGATTTAATTAATGACTTTTTATATATAATCATTTACAGAACTTTTCAGCTCCACATATTTTTTAGAATAATTGTTGTCTTTTTTTTCAATATTTCCTTTCATTTTACTGATTCTGCTTTGGTATTTTACTCATTTATTGTTTATGAATATTTTTTATAGATGCAGCAGTCTGATGAAAACCAGAATAATTTCCATGATGTCTATGTTGCTTATTGTGATAAAGATCTTAATTTTGCCCGGGATATCATTAACAAAATTGAAAATGAAGGACTCCGGTGCTACTTCAAGGACCGAGATGAAGGAAATGGTTATGTATTAGAAAACCTGTGTCAAGAAAGTCGGAACAGCCGTCTTATTCTTATTATTTACACAGAACATTCTATTGAAGATTGCTTAATCAAATTTCTTACGATCCAATCACTACACTATACTCTAGACTTTGGAAAACTCACCTTAATACTTTTGCTCCATAATATTGATAAGAATAGATTACCTAAAGAAGTGCAGTTTGTGCCACATGTATTTACTAGTGAAATGAATTATTTTGAGACAATAATGGAAAAACTAACAGGTAAGATATTAATATGATTTTGTCCATATATATATATAATATATATATAAAATGGTCATTAACACTTGAATCTGATCCCCTTTTATAGTGATTCCAAATTATTGTATAAGTAATCTCTATCATAATAAGACATTCTAGCCTTATTATATTTTTTTCACCAAATTTGGACATTTTCATTGCCTTTAATTATTTTCTTGTGATTTTTATTTCATAGCTTCCCTGTGCCTTCAGACTTTTTCTAAAGCTAAAATTGTCATTGAAAAGATTTGTGGTGTGCCCAAATGTAAAAATAAAATATGAAAAGAAAATATTAAAAAAAATTAAAATTAAAATTAGGCATTTGCTTTCCTCAAAAAACAATCTCTCTTTTTCTCTCTCTCGATACTTCTCTCTTTACTAATGAGGTAAAAATAAGAATAAAAAAAGACTGAACAACTGCTGTGAAATAGAAATTCACTAGTCCAAGTTTTAGTTATTGTGATTAAAAATCTACCAAAATAAGAGAGCCTCCATGCATAACTTCTGCTATAAAAAAAAAAAGAAAAAAAGAAAGAAACGCTGGAAAATAAATAAAAGAATTTTGACCAAATAAAAGAACAAAAAGACTTTTGATGTTAACCAAAGCCAATCTTCATGCCAAGTAGTCTGGAGCCTTTCAAAATTGTATATAAAGAGACAGCTGACAGACAGCAGGAGAAAAGACAGACAGCAAGAGAAGAAGAGAAGAGACACAGAGAAACCGGCTCAAGCATGTTGTGGTCATCTGCTTAAGACATTTTTTGCCCTTTTTGAGGGTCCAGAAAACACAGCAAATTCATGTTGCACATATTTCCAAAGTAACCCCACTCCTGACTACTATCAAAGTCTGACTTGTAAACTAGCAACTACCCAAACAAATGATCTTCCACCAACCTGATTTATAAAAATACTCACCACAATCAATTAAATTTATATTATTTACTTATATCTTTGATTCTGTTAGTTTATTCTGAAGTTTCAAATAAATATTACTAAGACGCTCTGGAGTATTTCCACAGATTACAGACTGTGGATGAGATAAAAGAAAACATTATATGGCAGCTAATAGTGATCTTAATAGGGGACTTTACAGACTTGGAAGCTGTAGAGATGCTGGGATAATTGAGAACCCTTTAAAGAGGACTAAGTTGCTATTACCCTAAATAAGCAAGTTTTTTTTTTGTTGTTGTTGATATTAAATGGCTGGATATTTTACGGACAGAATAATTCAATTTTAAATAATGATATTGATAATAATTATGGTCTATTTAAATAATTTGACCTTGACATTTGAAATTTATTTCTGAAAAACAACAGATGCTTGACTTTGATCTTTGTGCTAGATTAAGAAATTGCCAGAAAGATAATTTTGATTGTCTTTTCAATATTCATGAATGTTAACAGATCTCTTACTTTTGAAATGACTAAATAAATAATCTGAATAAATCTTTTGGTATAATCTCACATGCATTCCTTATTCTGTGGAATGAAGAATGACTCAAAATGAAGGACAATTAGATTACTCAGATCAGAAAATCAAGTATCGTGGCTCAGATCTACCAAGTTGTATCAAGAAAATACTCTTTAGTTTTTGTTTAACAAGAAATAATGGTGAAAATAAACATTGTATATCCAATTTGTTTCAGAAATCTTGGAATTATGTTATATAAACAAAATCTTCTGATTGCATTTGCTCTTACTATTATTATTTTTCTATTTTTAAATATTTAATCTTTTAGGATGTTTAGGATATTGTTGTTATTGCATGTACAATTTAACAACTCCTATCATATTTTCTTCAAGATCCCACCTTATTAGTTAAACATGTGATTTTTACATTTTGTATCATAGAAAGAAATATTTTTTATTGTTTTCATTGTAGCTCCTAAAGTCAATATAGACAATTTATTACCTGTTGGAAATATATCTTCTGGATTAGTGTGGAGTTTCTACTATGGCTATCTGAAAATAATTCTGCCAGGTAGGTAGGAAACTTGTGATTCTTTATATAACAAGAGCATGACACTGGTTTGAATAATATATTTTATCTTTAAAAGGGTATTATCAAGGTCCAGCTATCATGGATGGTGCATCACACATACCAAAATGGAAAGTTGGTATATGGCAAACTTCATAGAGGAAGTCAACTAGAAAAACATGACAAAGTTTCCATCAAAACTAACATTCAGCAGTTATAAAACCAAAGTAAATAGGCAGGAATCACCCACAGTAGTGAAGCTATAAACCATCAAGTCTCTGCAAAATTTGAGAATATAGAAAAAACCCTGCAGGAAAACCATGCAGAAAAAAAAGGTTCATTGCAGGAAAACAAAAACTTGGAAAGAGTTTTGGCATTTACTTTCTGTTCCAGTGTAAAGACATCAAATTTGTGTTTTCATATCTAAACCTCTTGTGATAGGACATCAAAGTTGCTGGACAGCTGTGGGAAAGTGAATATTTTCAGGAAACAGTTTTGGAACAGAAGTTGTTCCAACTTTTTAAAAATAATTCCAATTTATAATATAGATTGGATCAGTTGATTTCTCTGCATGCTCATCAAACCAGTTGTCTGAAAGTGAATAATTTTGTTTTTTTTTTTCCCAGAAAATAAATTTGTTTGGCAGAAAGCCAGAAAATTTGTCTGATTTCTCTTCTGCTAACAAGGTTGAAGGATTCTGTTGAAAATAACTTCTTAGATAGCTGCATGTAAGTAGCATATCCTTACACAAATAGGGTGGAGAATGGAATTGGTAAATCAAGTTCACATTTGTGCCTTGTCTGCTGTGATCACTTTCACAAAAATACCCTTGAAAAATACATGAATCCAATATCTCTTTCCCTCCACCTATGGGTTAAATAGCAACATAAACTGGGCTCTCTTAACCAGTCTCTACTAATGCAAAACCATTGCAAAGGCAACAGGAAGCCATTATCTTTCCCAAGACGTTATGGCAATTCAGAGATAATAAAGGAAGAAAAGACTCTCTGGAGAGGCTATGATTAGCCTACAGCCTGAAGGGACATGACATTTAAAAATGAAATTATCAGGATTTTACTTTAGGAAATCTTTGGCATACTTGTGTATTGATAATAGAAGTTAATACAATTAATGTCATACAATACCAGTGCTAACCTGTAATATTTGATTCATATTGATCAATTATTCTTAGAATAACCATTAACATATTAGTCATTAAGATCATTGATTGATTTATATCTACGGTGTATATATTTTGTAAAATGGATTAATATCATTCCAAAGAAGAGAGAACAATACAGGTTAAAAGTCATAGAGTTTGTTGGTGCAAATAGACTCCCATTAGATGTATCTGCTGTGTATATTATGCATCATTGTCTCTGTATATGAGGTACCATCTTGAAGGAATTTGGATAACCTGCAAGAACCAAATGTTGTACAAACTTTTGACATATTTTGTAAGCCAGTGAACAAACCTTGACGTAGAAACTAAGTATTAGAATAAGTAGCTTTTTTTTCTTGTTCAGTTTTCCAAAAACATTTGGATAGCACTTTGTACCCTAACATATTTTTATCAATAGTATATCTCGGTTATATATTATAATATCAAATAATATATAATAATTGCTTTGTCTTTTCAGAAATACCTATCAAAATAAAAGAGTGGATAAGCTGCAACCCTTCAAAAAGTAAATACTTTCCCAGACAACTGTATATCATTCTTCCAACTTTTGGCAATTGCTACAGTTCTCTTAGTGAAGTAGATAACAACATAGAATTTGTGGAGACATTTACATCCGTGGAAATTGATCGAGCAGGTAACAGAAATCGAAATTACAAAAACACCATTTATAAAATTTGCAGACCTGACAAAGTAAGTAAAACCTTGTCATCAAATTTGTTTTCAATTTGATATTTTTGAATTTAGATATTACAAAATGAAAAGTTAGAAATGGCATTTTCTGTAAATGTGTCCACAGCCAAGGAAGTGTTAATAAATGCTGTCTGTGACATCACAAGTTGTAGAAAGAACATAATAAATAATGTAGAAAGAGATGAGATTGCATTAAAATAATCACAGTAATCAAGCATCTTTGTGTTATCATTATAATAGTGTACTTCATTTTGTGATAACAAAATGATAATAATAATCCAAGAGTGTCTCACCACTGAGTAATGGTTAACAAGCAGTCTGCCTGTACATTATATTTATCAGACACTGAGACCAAGTATATATGTATAGTATAGCTCATGGCTGAAATAGTTTTTTTTTTATTTATAAGTTTATATATAACAATAGAAATTATCATGTCACCCAATATGCTGCTCTTGTATCCTGTCTTCATAAAATAGGATTAATGTGTTGCCAGATATAATGATTGTCTGCTTGATATTTATATCATGTGAATGGTAAGGACATTCTAAGTATCACAGTCATGATTCTGAAAAACAATCCACTGTTCAGAATTGAAGTCCTTTTTTTTTTTTTTTTTTTTTTTTTTGAATAAAAAAAAATAGAGTTAATGAGATTGATCAACTCGGGACAATATTTGCATTACTTTAACATCACAGGTGACACTACTTGTTTACTATTAATTAACCAAATTTATAATTACTTGACATTATTTTAGTCTTACATTAAAAAATGAAAACAAAATAAAATTAATATCAGGAGGTCAATATTTGAACATGTGCACATTGTAGCAAAGAATATTTTTAGATTTAATGTTTTACATAAATTTTTTTCTTTATGATTTTTCTCAGGAATATTATTTTGTTGGTGAGTATGCATCTCCAGTGAAGACGATGTTTGAAATGGAAAAAGGACAAATTGCAGGACTAACAAAATCGGACTTTTTTCAACAAGTTTACCTTTTTAAAGAGAAATTGTCACAAATTCTAAACCATAAAGATTGTCCATGTCATTGTTGTACTTTGGTTATTTATAGTAAGTAAATAACTTCCTTCTATCAAAAAAAAAATCTCAAAATAATTCTAAGGAACCTGTTCCTTAATTGTTTTTCCTTCCATCTTCAATACTTAAATGTTTCCAATACCTAAGATTATTTTGTCATTTCGCAGCATATTCTCTTAACTATTCACTTGCAAGAACATTTTCATTTGTAAGTATTTATTTGGTTCAACCAACTTAATCCCTTTTTCAAACATCCAAAGTTGTTTTTTACTATGAAATTGTTATTACTATGACACTAATTTTTCTTGGTTTGGCATTATAGTGTAGCTTGCAAAATGTGTCTCAAATCAATTTCATCCCAAGGCTAGATTCTCTCAATTAATATATTAGGTATTTTATATTATAAATACTCTCAGAAAGAAACAAACATTTTTCAGCTTTATTGCATGAATCAGTTAAAATGAGTGTTGCAGTATAGAAATACAATAAATAGAAAAATGGGCAATCTTCAACTTTTGTGCTGCAAAAAAACAAGGTGGCAAAAGGACAACTTTTCCTCCTTGACTCCATTATTTTAACTACCTTCAACTCTTTGGCAATATTTGTTTTAAAATGCAATTAGAATTTAATAAAATCTAAACATGATGAAAGTGAATTTATGCAACTTTTTTGTTCTTGAGAATTGACAACAAAAATAATAAGCATTATTTATTAGATTGTTTATTTACACTATTTCTTTTATTATATTGTTTATTGGAATGATTGGCAAAACATTTTTATTTTTATTGAATAATGAATAATAAAAGATTTCCTTATTGTTGGTTCACATATTTTACTAATTTAGTAAATGTTTATAAATTTATGAATAAAAAATGTTTTCATATTTATTTCCTTATAAACTGGTAAATATTGCATTATTTTTTTTAACTAATGTTCACCCAATACAAGGCTCAAGAACCACTCAAAGTAGAGGGTTACTGTGTGGTGTTGTATTAGTGTAAGGAAGTACAAGGAGTAAAGTTTTTGCGGCTAAGCAAGAAATATAAGTTAAATATATAGATTTGAAGAGGTCAAAATTTAGTTGGTGAATAGAATTTCAGAGTTTGGGTGTAGACGTTAGGAGTATAGAGTTGAAGTAGACTTTAGAAGTGTTATACTCTGTTACAATTAGATCTCATTCTGAGTCATTCAGCTTAATAACCAGATGTGAATGTCATGAAGGCAGAAAACGAAATAACAAAAGTCATTTTCTATGCATTAGGCTTTATGTATTACATCCAGTCTACAAGTCAGCTCTGGGGGTGGCCAATTATGATCGTTCCCACCAGAGAGAGAGAGAGAGAGAGAGAGATGCCCCTCAGAACTACTAGACCTGATTAAAAGCAGGCCTCTGAGAATGACCAGGACTGTTGTGACCGAAACAAGATGTAGTAGTGCATTTATTTGCCATGAAATGCTAGAATTAATCAAACAGTAATGAGCAACCATTCTCAAAATGAAAACAGACCCAAAATCCACAAGGGAACATGAAACCAGAATCACTGACAAACTTCAAACAGAACTACAGGAAATGCTGATTGCTCTCAATTCTGTCTCCATCGGGATAGCTCACATATCCCAGACCTCAACAGATTAGGAACTGCTCATGCAACAACAATCCTTACACGACAGTATGCATGTAAAATGTTTCCAACCAGGTAATGATTTCAGTCAGTTTATAGCTGATTTGAACAAGGGATACACAATCCGTATAAAACCTAAGCTTGCACGTTATCTGAGAATGGAAATGGAATGGAAGTTTATTAAAATCACTAAGCAACTTCACAATGGAGCATATTCCAACAGATGGAGGATTCGTAACAGACCACATGTATAAGCAGTTGATAAGAACGCACGGAGGTCAAATGATGAATTTTCAGTACCTCAGCCGAGTGTGGGACCTGCAACGATGTGACAGCAAAAAGATCAACAATTTTGCAGGTTGACTCGAGACCATGATCAAAAAAGCAATTAATCCCTATAAAGGCAAACTTTCAGACAAAAGCAACTCCAAAATAACACTGTTTTTTCTTTCATGGATGTGATGCTCATGAGTGAAAAAAATTAAGGCCTGGCCTCTGAATATATACCCCCAGCTTGTGAAGACAATAGACAACCATTACTAGCTGGGTGCTATAGCAAGCTATGCCCCATGCTACCTTGACCATGTCATAAAAAACGATGGTATTCTCAACCTGACTGCAGACATAATGTAAGCACATACACAAGTGAATCAAGGTGTTCATCAGGATCTTGCCAACCTGAAGTGTCAAATACAACAGATACATCAAAGAATAAATCACCTAATGCATGGCCAGAACACCTCTATGAGGCTAGAACACAATGACATAACCTCAAGATGGATCCAGAAACACACTCCCACAAATAACAGTCAACCATTCTGTCTGCAGAAACTACATGAGGGGCATCACATGTTTCAAGGGCCAAAATTGCCCTTACCAACCTCCTGCTCAATCACACGTTGCAACTATATATGCAAAACACACCTAGAACGGCCACAGAAAAAGATGAAAACACAAACCAACTCCATGAAATGGATTTTCGGTCAGGACCAGATGAGATGTGATGGCTCAGTCACTGGTTCAGAATATTGACAAATACCATCACCTCTTCAATTTCCAGCATCTGCACTCGTGCCAATCTCCTTTCACAAAAATATACATCACTACTGGCAATTTCATTTTCTCCAAGATACGCATGCTAAACTCGGGGTGCAGCAGTTGCATCATATCTATCTCCTGCCTACCTGAGCAAGCAAGGAAACACATGCAAACATCAAACACACACATAAATGGAATCAGCAGCAATGTTTCCGTCATTTGTGAAATAATTGGCAATATCAGCGTGGATGACATCAGCTCACCTACATTTCAGAACATGAATATACTGATCACTAATGCCACTATACTACTCCTTGACAGCCAGAACATTTTATGCCATGATACACTAACGTTATATCCCATAAACAATTGAGATGCGACAGTTGAATTCCACCAAGCCTTACCATTGGGTGATGTAACCTATACAGCACTTCTAATCTCAGTCACTAATCTGAAAACAACTCACACCTGTATTTAGAATTCAACTCATCACAAGCCAGCCTATGGTGAAATCCTAGGTTAATATCCAGTCCTTAGAGCAAAAACTGGACTGACTTAGAAAAAACACAGGCATAGTCCTTCCCTCTCACCCCAACCGTGATGAACTAGAAGTCACAGCAGCCCTTCTCATCAAATATGCCAATATCATTGGTAATGAGGATAATCAGGGCACATTCAATAAGCCAGTGCACATACTCACTAATGACCAGTCCCACAGCCACTGCTTGTCAAATCTTTTCTTGATGCATAACAAAGGCATTAACCACCATCACTTCACAGGAGAATATCTCATCATACATTTGACGACAACCTTGTCCACACCCAAACCTTCATCACCACACTGGAACAGCTATTCATCACTCTTCAGAAATTTGGACTGAAACTTGACCTTAAAAAGTGCACTTTCTTGCATCAGAAGCCAAATTTCTCAGTTGGATTGTTGACAGCGAAGGGTTTTCATGTGGATACACCAATTTCTGGAGACTTGCCTTTATGAATGAATCAAAACAGTTACATTTTCCCACCTGATGGCCTCTGTACATGAACTCAACAGGGCTAACAAGCCCTTCATTTGGACAGAAAAGGCCAACAAGGCGTTAGAAAAAAATTAAGAGACACTAATCATCACTACCAGTTATCTTTTTTCCAGATTTCACTCAACCCTTCACACTCACCACAGATGCTAGTGATGTCGCATGTGGTGGCTGACAATGGATGAAAAATGATCATAACCGTCACTTCCCACACTTTCAGCTCAACAGAACAGAACTGGTCCACTACGAAACACAAAGCACTTGCAATAAAATGGTCATATCCAAATTTGATTACTTTCTGCACACTATCAGTCATTATATTTTCACTGACCAGCATTCACTGATATACCTTGACCAGTATGAATTCAGTAATGCAAAAATTTGACAATGGCAGGAAAAATATCCAGCTATAAATTCATTTTAGAATACATGAAGAGTGACTCCAACATGACAGGACATAGATGTGAAGCTCACATGAATCATACTGAGATCTCGGAGAGTTGTTACACTCCATCGCAATTAGATTTAATTCATTCTGTATGCTGGCCGGATGTGAATGCCATGAAGCCAGAAAACAAAATAGCAAAAGTTTTCTGCACATTAGGCTCCATGCATCACATCCGGTCTATGAAGTGAACTCCAGCAGTGGCCAATCACAATCATTATTGCCAGAGAGAGAGATGCCCCTGGGGACTACCAGACTTGCTTAAAAGCAGGCCTCTAAGAATGAACAGGACAGTTGTGAGTGTAGATACTTCACCTGAGTCCACCACTTGTATGACTTTGATAATCCTTGCCAGCATATCATCAGAAGCTTGTTCAGCTATGATGTTAGAGGTTACCTCCTCTATTGGGATGGTTGAGGTTGTGCAGCAAGCAAAAATTGCATCGGTGGCATGTCTGTGAAGTTTGAAGTTCTGTGGCATGTACAGTACAGGGAGCAATTATGTACCTCAATTTCTCCCCCCCCAGTGATGGGTTAATTAGTAAGACTTGTATCACTAAATCATTATCTCGAAAATGGCTTTAATCTTCAAAAAGTGGCTAAGCTATAGAAAATCTTCTGTTATGACACTAATATTGTAATCAATTGACCCAACTAAATGTGTTTAGAAATATGCTGTCAATAAGGCATATTTCTACTTTATAAGAAATGATTTACTAAAATAATCTTTTTCAAAAACCAAATCAGTTATTTGAAGAAATCAAAAAAAAGTCATTCAATTTGTCTTTTCTTTATTCTCTGCTTTATTTTTATAGAATCAGATATGAATTTCCTTCAGATCCCTGAGATTTTTCTATATTTATAAATATTTTAAAACTTTGGTTTACATTAAAAAAATAATTGTAAAAATATACATTTTTATAACTGTACACATCAAAGGCCATGTGATTTGCATGTGTTAGGATTAGCTTTATGTCTCGACTCACTCCACACTTAATTTGTTCAAGTCTAGGGTTAACTGTTATCTTTCTCACATATCCTCCTAAATTGCACCTATGACCACATACACACACACAACAAACTCTCTACCTCAAATCGCTCTTATGCATTGTGTAAGGTGAACATTGGCGTAAAAAAATAAATGAAAATAAAATAATATCTAAGTATATTTTTAATATTGTAAAGTTTACTTTCCTTTGTGCCTCTCTCTCTCTCTCTATATATATATATATTTCTTTATTTCAGATAATGATCCACTATTATCAGATTTGCTTGTGAACAAAATAGAAGAAGACTTAAAAGCAGTGACTGCTTCCTGAAATTCAACAGAAGTTTGTACATTTATTTTATTTGCATAGTTTTCCTCTTAAACCTTCTGACTCAACCTAAATAGTAAGACAAAGTTGTTGACAAGGTTTTGAAATGTTAAAACACAGGAACTTGTTTTGCATATAGCCATATAATCATTACTGAAAGATTCCTTAAGTATATAACAAATAATTTTTAGAAAACTGATTTTTGATGAAATTGTTTTTGTTACTGGACTTTTACTAATTATTAATATAGTATAATTTAAAAAAAAATGATTAAATGTCATCTTAGTACCTTTTAACTAAATTCTATCATTGAATTTTAATTAAAATTTAGTTAATATTGATAGACTACTAATACCTAAAAAGTTTAGAAAATGTTGATTTGGCAAACTTTTATCATGATAGAATGATAGAATATGTATCACTTATAACAATACAACTATTTTTGGAAAAGGATATATATGTTTTCAAACCATGATTTTTATCATGGTATGAAAACATTTTTCAGTTTCCATAAAATATCAAAAATTTTTTTAATCTACCTATTAATACTGGCTATATACAATATTATGTGATCAAGTCAGATCCACTGTTTGAAGGTTTTTGTTGAGGATATTTAACAGTCACAAACTTAACAGAGAAATAGTATTTCTCTTGTACTGTATGATTTTGGGAATCGGATTAAGTAATGATATTTTTATAGCAAAAAAATACATAAAAATATCTTAATATGATTATCTCATGTAGCATTCATCAAGAATAAGAAATAAAGAGAATACGGCTGTAGAAAGAAGTCTCTACCACAGATAAAAGAAATTAACTTCTTAATAAATACATGAAAAAACTGCTCATGAACAATAGTGTGTATAGTAAATCTGTCAAAATAAGATGGGTTGATTGCTTCAAAAACTAACTGAAAACTGCAGTTAGGGAAAAATTACTTTATACCATTATATCCAATATCAAACAAGTCACAAACTTGTAAATGAATGATTAAAGTAAGGCTTTATTCAGAAAAGTAACACTACCAAATCTTGAATGCTATTTTGATTTAACTTTTGATATAAAAATATTTCATTGAACATTAGCAAAACAAAACAATTCTTAATATCATACACTTAGGTAATCAACATTTGATTTATATGAAATCTTGATAAATTTGAGCATTTAAACAATAGTTCTTTATATTCATAAAAATAATTTTTCTTAGTTCTTGTTTGCTGTGATTTGATTGGTTGTTGGCCCCAAGCTATTCCAGTAAAGTATTCTTAGTTTCATATCTTAAGTATTAAAGAGGATATGACTGTGGATATTTGGATCTGACTGGACATGTCATTTGGATTCCATAAAAAGTAACCTGCTTATTCTCACTATTTCAGTCATTTGCCAGGAGACTATTTCTTTGGCCAAGACAGTCATTTAATTTTGTAAAGAAAAAAAAAAAAAGAATGCTGTTTCATCACATTTAATCCAGAATATTTCAAACCACATTTGTATAAATGTTCAGCTTGAATAAAAATTTTTTATATGTTTGATATTTCATTGTTTAAATTTTAAATGTTCATAGTAATTAAACTATATAAAATTCATTTATGCTGAAGAGTTTATGTGCACCAGTTGAAGATTTATATAAGCCCCAACATTTTTTTCTTAATTTTATATCATATGTGTATGTAACCATAAAATAATTGGTTTATACCCTGTCACACAGATAACTAACAAAATTTTCTTATCCTTTGACTTAGAAAATTTTCTGTGGTAAAATAAATAAAAAAGACATTGTTATTAAGTGAAATATTGCACAAATTATTCATGTTCACTTTTACAATGTATTTAAGTTTCCTATAATATATATATATATATTTTAGGATATTACACCGAAAACATGTCAAAATTACTACACAATTGCAGTTGTGTTTCAATGCATCTCATCAGGCAATTGTAAATTACTGATGAGTGAACAGTTTATTTAGATTTAAAAGTAAAATACAACCTCTTTTTATGAAAAAAGAAAAAGGCGGTGTTATAAGGTTTGTGGACTTTACTTTTATCAACCAATCAAATATATAAATTTAAACTAAGTGAAGAAACAAAAATTAAAATTTATTTTTTTATAAATGAGTCATGACCCGTAGAATGGCAGCTAACGGCAGCCAAACATAAACTAAAGCGAATGGTTACATAAAATTATACAAACTAGACAATGTCATTTCCTAAGAAATAAAAATGGGGTGGAGAGGTCATTTAACAAAATGCTAAACAAATTATATGCTTTGTGAATTTCCTACCTAAAATTTTTTTATAGTTGATAACTAAATAGCTTCTTTAAGAAACTAGTAAATAATTTAAATGTATAGAATTATTTGATAAATTAATATGCAACTGTTGAATAAGTATTCTTCAAATAAGATGTTAATAACACTAACCAATCAATGTAAAAATGTCAAAAATGCCAACCAAATACCAATACATCTGTACAAGATGTTATTAATACTACCAGGAAGTTAATAAAAAATTATATTAAATCCAAATATTTCTTACAAATAGAAAGATAAGCCATATATGGTTCAATGCAGCACAACTAAAATATGAGAAAAAGCATAATCAAATTCCAAAGTTTAACTAAATTGTAAGGTAAAAGGTAATTACAATTTACTGTTAATTCATTTCTTTGATTTAATAAGGAATTTTTATTGAATCTGATAATTTCCAATTTTTCATGTAAGCACAGAAAACAGGGTTCATATAAAGATCTACATGTCCTTGCCATTTTAAAAATTTTCCATTTCACCTTAGGAATCTTAATTTCATCTTTTAAACTCCAAAAATATTTAGAAAGTGTTGTATTATTTCTGTAAGTACTATTGGTGAAGGACAAGATATTTTGATACCACCTAGTCTTGAAAGAATTCTTGGCACTACCAATAGAGAATATAGCTGTCAATATTGTTACCAGTATAGAATATAGCTGCCAATCTATGGGTCATGACCCATTTATAAAAAATAATTCTGTTTTGCTTCTTTACTTAGTTTAAATTTAATGTAGATCATATTTGATTGGTTGATCAGAGTAAAGCCCACAAACCTTTAAACCCCTTTTTTCTTTTTTCTTTTTCATAAAAAGAGATTGTATTTTGCTTTTAAATCTAAATAGTCACTTGCCAGTAATTTACACTCGCCTAATGAGATGCATTGATACATGTCAAAACATGACTGCAATTGTATAGAGATTTTGACATGTTTTTGGTGTAATATCTTCAAATAATATTGTTCTACTTTGTATTGAGCCCTCAGTTAAAGTAAATGTTTTGACTGTTAGAATTGTTCTCATCTTACCTGGACACACACACATGCTAAAAGTTCTCTGTCCAACCAAAATTGAATTAAAAAAAATATGATGTTATGTCAGGCTGAGAACTCTTCAGCCACTACTCATATAACATTGACCAAAGTAAAAAATTTATTGTGTAAATCAGAAATGTTGACCTAATTCTTAGAATTTATTCAAGATAGGAGCATATCTAAACAAAATAAAAGAATTAACATGGAACCTAAAACCATTAATATACAAAAAAGATATTGAAGAACTGTAACTTTTTCAATTTGGATTAAAATCCTTTTATATAAATCATTCTGCAAAAATTCTGAAGAAAAAAAATCTCTTGAATTCACTTTAAAGAGAAATTGAAAGATAAATGCCACATACTGTCAAAAACACTGACTGTTGATGAATTAAGAGAAAAGACAGAAAATATTCAATATTTCTTAAATATTCATACTGTAAAATAATTTTATTTTTTAGACTGCTTATAAATTACAATATTTTTTCATTTTCAAAATGTACGGAGTTAAATAAGCGGCCCAATTTTCAACAGTATTATAGAAAACAGCCCAAAATTATGTATAAAAATGGAAAAGTGTTATTAATATTTACAAATATATCATAAACCAAAACAGGTTCAACTCCAATGTCAGGTCATATATTTTGCTTCAAATGAATAACTTGATCTGTCCATTCCAGGGTTCATTAATCAAGCATAGACTTAAAAGAAAAAAAAAACTAATGTAGTGCTTATTGTTATATGCATATATGTACAATATAGAATATAAAAATATACATATATTTTATTATCAGTTAACAAAATCTGTAAGTATGACTGTCTAAGTAGTATACATATATTTCATTTATGAATGAAATAGTAGTTTCAATAAACAGTTTCTAAAGAAAATATAAAAATGAAGAAGTTAAAATACAGAATAATGCCAACAATAAATTTTGATAAATAACTAAATAAAATTCATGGTTATAACAGATGAAGCACTAAATTATCTAAAAAAAAAAACAATTGTATATAAATACACACTCAACCCCCCCACAAAAAAAATACAGATTTCATCTCCTTTTTCATTGCATTTTCTTTATTTTCCCTTAAAGTTTTTTTAAAAAATAAATATTTTGTTTTCTCCAGATTGCCAGAAATGAATTCTCCATTCACATTATATCCATCTTGAATATTTATAAAAGGCAAATTGATTGTAGGTAAAAGTCTATTTATAAACAAGGTTCTTTTGAATAAAAGTCTATTTCATTCCAACAACCACAGTTGTTAGTGAGATCAACAGCTGGAATTCTGCAAGAAATGTTGGAGGTAAATTCTATCTGCAAATATTTCTGAAATATCTGCTATCTGCAAAAGAGAAAAAAATTGTCAAAAGAATGGAATAGATTGGTTTATACAGAAAGAGTTTTATACTGTAAAATCAAAGTAAAAAAAATATCAAAATTCTTTCAGAAAGGAAGGAATCCTAATCAACATAAGAACATAAGAAAAAATTATCAATGACTAACTGTAAATGTTTAAAAAGTTTTTGTCTTTAAAATTACCTGAAGAAATTGAATTACCATTCAATTAATGGTAGAAATAGAAAAATAAAGATAAAAATGTAATTTTGTGGGAATAAAAAAAAAATCAAATTTAGGATTGAAAAGCAAAAACAGCAAGACT